TGCCAAGGTCATCTCCCCATTTGTAAAATGAGGGAACTGGACTAGATCTGCGGTTTTTAAACTGTGCTCTGAGTTTCCAGGGAGCTACGTAAGGGTCCCTTACCAGTGGGCGTGTTGGGAAGACCTGAAGTGAGGTCATTCCCACTTCTTCAACCCAATTAGCAATCCTTTTATCTATTCATACACTGTGGCTGAGCATAAAAGCTCATCTGTAAAAAGGGCTCTGCTGGTAAAAAGATGGAAAACCATGAGGTCCCACTGCCTGCAATGCTTTTTCATCCACTCTTTGACTTGCTAACTTCTACTCATTATTCAGGGGTCAGTTTAAATGTCACCTCTTCAGTGAAGCCCTCCCTGAGTGAGCCACACCCCCTCAACTAAGTTATGTATCCCTCTTCCCCCACAGAGCCCTGTCACTTACTCTCACAGCACCCATCCCAGTTGTATTTTATTAATGATTTCTTCCAGGTTTTTCTCCCACACCCTCAGCCCTATGAGGGCAGGGAACAAATCTGCTGCATACCGTAGGTTCAATTAGAAAACAAATGCTGTAATTTTATGGATTTATGTTTAAGAATAAGCAGGTACTTAACTAAGTAATAAATAGTATTAGTAATATTAAATATTATTCATATTAATAAATAATTATTTAATTAGATACGTCAGTAGTTTTAGTTACCAATGAGGAAAGCAACTTAAAGCAACTCGAAGTTAGCCAGACCCATACTGGAATTTCCTCTCTACCATGCACTAACTAGCTCTGCGGCCAAGCTCTCTGATGGCTCTCAGTCTTTGATCTCTCATGTAAACAGGAATAAAGCAGTTATAAGAATGTGTGAGATAATATAAGTAAATAATTTTTAAAATAGTACTGTAAGGGGCCCAGTAGTTATTATATTTATGATATACCTGACTTTAAAATAAATTTAAAAAATACAAACTGCATTTTCCTCTCCACTCTACCTCCATCATAGGCATATTCTAATTTTATTTGTTCTATTCCATTTTCTAAAATTAATTTCTGTATCTATAACGTACTAGTGTTCCATGACAAATTTTAAAATGGGGGTCTCTGCAAATCTATTAATACTTAGAACACCAACATAAATTCTACCTACATATACCTCACCCCCCAGGGAAACTTAAGTAGGTGCAGAGCTTTTGCCACTAACAGGCAGTGGCCCCGAACCTTCCAATTGCCATAGGAGCCAAGTCAGATCTGAGGCCATAAATTATTTAATCAACATTTATTGAGCTGAAGAAATACCTCATTTTCATATCTCTCCAAAAGGAAAATAAATATAATTCTTGGCCTCAATAAATTCACCATCCACAAGGAAGACTGATACATATACGATAAAATATAAAAATGTTATGTGATGAGTGCTATAAGAGAGGTATTCAAAATATTAAAGGAACTCGGAAGAGGAACTAACTCTGCCTTCAGAGGGAAGGGAAGGCTTCAAAGCAGAGATATCTGAGTTGGATATTGAACAAAAAATAGGTGTTTGTCAGGTGGAGAGGAAGGAGAAGGACTTTCTAGGCAGAAGAAAGCTTTGTGCAGAAGACCTGAAATTGCTATTACATAGTTTAACTTTTTCTTGCAGGGGAGGGAGTGATGGTGGTAGTGGTACCTAGAACGGCACCAGACGAGAGTGGTAAAGGTGGCATATTTGGTGGGATATGAATGCCATGCTAGGAAACATACTTTATCCTGAGAACAATGGAGAATATTAAGGAGAGAGAGTGTGTGTGTGTGTATACTAATCCAATTTGTATTGAGAAGACCAATGGCACAGGAAGAGGGAAGTTGGAGGCCAAACACCAGTTTTCAGGTACTGTTACTTGTAACCCAGTGAAATCAATTTAGTGGGTGACATCTTGAATTTCTGTTTTAAATGAATTCAAATGGAGTAGAAAATATCAGAGATCATCTGACATTGTAAGGATAAGTTTTATAAAACTTTTGTGTCAGATGCATGTGTGTGTTCTGGATTGCAAGGTAAAATGCATTTGTTACTATGGGTCATGGTCAAAAAAGTTTCAGATGGTGAAACTGGTGCCTGACCAGATGAAGGGAGTGAGGGAAAAGTCAAGGAGGCTTCACAGGTTTCTGGTGTGGGTACCTGAATGGATCACAATGCCACTGTCCCAGACAGGGAACAAAGGAGGAGGCTGGCTTTTATCAAGTCCACATGGGAATGCTGGAAACCCCTCACAGCAACCTCTCTCAGCATTTTTTCAGTAGCCATGGTGAATACTAATCTTGTTCAGCAAAGACAAAGGACACATAGTCACCGAAGCTGCAAGCTCACAAGAATACACAACTGATAAGGGCCTTCTAGGAACTGGAGGGGTCCCAGTCCTAAATCCCAATACACATAAAAACTTGGGAACCAGAGAAAGCAGACAGGATAAGGGAAACATCAACACCTCTTCCAGGGAACTAACAGGATATGAGAAATCCTGTCTCTATTCTGAGAGCCAACAGGGAATCATCACCCTTGGGAACCTAAGCAAGCTTTCTGTAAAGTCCACTGCCAGGGTATTCTAGTTTTATGGGGTGTTTTTTTTTTTCACGGTGGGGGGGGGGGGATTCTGGTGGGGGGGGCGGATTCTATTTTTATGACTGCTTTCTAAGCCTCCCCACCTCTCCCTCACACTACCACCCACAGGAGGTATTTCAACCCTGCACATCCCTAGCAAGTCCACTGAGCCCTGTAATACTGGATTTGGTGATCCCTCAGTTACCCTCCTGGAGCTTCGGGCTAAGAAAACAGGACTTAGAAGAGCATAGCTTTTCTGCAGACTCGGGGTGGATCCCTTATTCCCTCTAAGAATCCTATCCCCTGGAAGAGAGTTTCCCCAATTCTTCTTGGAGGATCATAGCACAATTGGACACTAAAGTAACTTCCTGGTGACCCTTTCCACTACATTTCTCCACAAACCAGCCCTGAGTGCTTCAGACAACTTGGCTGCCCTCAAATACTCCATGTTCTTGTACATGTTCTATGTTTTGCTCCTAATAATTCCCTCAACTCAAATGCCCTTTTCTCTGACAGAAATTCTACTCACCCTTCATGGTACATCTCAAATGTCACCTCTACCACAGAGCAACTCTTTATCCAATACATACTCCCTCATCCACCAAATTCGGATTTAGTCACACCTCCTTATCCTTCCATAGTATCTGCTTATGCCTTGGGCACAGCACTTTTTTCATTGTCATCCATTACGGGCAATTGTACTGTGCCTGTTTTCCACTCGACTAATTTTCTTGAAGGTGCACACCATGTCATATCCTACTCTCCAGTGCCCCCCAGTCCTTAACACAATAAGAGTTTGCTGATTCATCCCATGAAGCCCGCAGATCATGAGAACCAAGGAGGAAGGATGGAGGGGACACCAAGCATAGACAGGCCTCCCTCCCCCTACTTAACTGGTGGTGGTACTCCCCACTCCTCTGAGAAATTAAACCAACCTCAGCAAGGAAGGCTCAGCAGGCACATTTGGAAATGGTGGCTAACTGGAAAGAACTACAAGTAGTTTCAAGGTTCTCCCAGCTGCTAGTAGTCAGGTATTGACGTTGGGATGTGGTCACAAGGATTATATTTTTTATTTTGCCATCCACTCCCTCTAACACTCTGATACCTCTGGCTATTGGGCAATAAAGAGTCTTTCATTCTGACTCTGAATATTATCTTTGAGCTCCTCTGGGAACAGCCTAGCCTCCTCTCATCCCTCCCACCTCTCCAGTGAGTAATTCCACAGGGCCACCTCTGCAATCCTCTCCTCTTGAAAAAGTAGTTTTCCTCTCAGTACATCCAGCTGCCCTCCCTGAACCTTTTCCTAACCTTCACCATTCAGACAGAAGGTGGTTGGCCTTCTTAGCTGCCTGACTAAAAGACATGGCACATTTCAAGGGTTTTGATAGTTGCAGCTTCCTCTGTGATCCTACAGGCACTACTTACTCAGATTTATTATAGAACTTAGCCAGTCCAATTTATAACTGACTATTATATATGTCTTATCTCCCTCACTAGACTGTGAGCCTCCTGACATAGCTTACTAACTGCCCAGGACACAGTGTACACTCAACAAACTACCGGCTTAGGAAAAAACAACATGAACTGCCACCTTAGGCCCCTTAGCCAATCTCACTGACTATGTGAGTTCAGAAGAAATATTTCAGAGGTGATCAAAACCAAAAAGTCTTTATATAGTAGTCAGTCCTGTGATGCAAAGCTCAGCTGAAGGCAGTCTCAAACAAGGGTCCTTTTGACAGGGCAACCATTCCCCACGTTCCTCAGATACTACGGTCAAAGTAGTAAACTTAGTTCTCCAGAATTTACTTTCCCAAGATCTGGCAGTTCAATAAATAGTCCCCAGCCCCCACTTCAACGTCTCTCCTATATCCTTCTGACCTTTAATACTGTGTAACATTAGATGAAAAATTGATTTTTTTGGCTACTTAATTTGCAGCTGAAGAAAAAATATACTGTTTAAGGTGTTAAATATTTTTACATGCAACAAAACTGGCATGAATCTAACCTGTATGCACATTTTAGAGGTACAGGCGTAAATGTCAGTGCTATAATTTGTTATAGGTTTCTGATGACCAGCAATGAAAATGACCACGGATGCTCACAATTCAAACCACTTTTACGTAAATGTGAACTTTCCTAAAACAGCGAAGGGAAAGAACTTTCCACCCAAGCTCATAGGGTCTCTTACAGATACTGATAGCATTGTTCACTGGGTTAGGTGTTCTTTGAGAAAATCCTACAAATATTAGTTTCTTTCTGGGACTATGCTTTGACCTTTAATAAAAAAATGTGCTACAAGACACCAGTTATTAAAATGAAAGGAACAGCTTTTAATGCCTGAACAACTGCGATTTCATATAATCAGCCCTGCTGAAGGCTATACCTTAACAAGTCAGCAGTGTTTTAAAAAAAAAAAAAATACATTTGGTGACTTCACTTAAATTGCTCACTTACCAGACATGAAGTAGAGTTATAAGAAACCATGAATTGAATGTATCAGGCATCTGACACCCTAGAAAATAACAATAAAGTATAAATATGTGAAGGTTTAGAAGAGGCATATGGACTATATTTGAAATATCGGTAGAAATTTGTTCAACTAAAATATATGGTAATCACAGTGCTCTCTGATTATGCTATCATAGAGGAGGCCAATGGAACCACAAGGCAAGCCCATGGGTTGATAAAGCACTGAATGCAGTCAGACAAACAGGCTTCTAGTAACAGCCCTGTTACCACCTTGCTGTGTGGACTTGGGAAAGTCACTTCTCTTCTCTGAGCCTCAGTTTTCTCACTTTGTATAATGTGGCCTGGACAATCTTTATAATTCCTTCCAACTCTGATTCAACGTTATTTTCCCCTCCTGGTCTCCAATTCTTCTGGAAAGCTAGGCAGACACCACCTTACCTACCCCACTTAACTAGAGGCTTTTTTTCACTTGAGCCCTGCTGAGAAATCTAAGTTCTTCTTGTCCATCTCCCTTTCCTGTCTTCTTTCTCTAAGGTGACCCAGTGGGTATGCTAAATGATTCAACCAAAATAAATGATCAGAAGAAAGAAGCAGGACTCTAGGGAGCTACAGTTGAATAAGAAAGCAGATAATATCTAATGAAAGGTTGTTCATCACCCCCAGGAATGACAAACCTGGTAGGGTTTCTCCTTGGTTTAAGAAACCAAAAATCAGCTCAGGGCTTAGACATCCAAGCGTCTCAATTCTCAGATCTCTAAGAAATGCCTCTGGCTGGATGAGGGGTCCCCCACAGAATATGCCCTCCTTATTACACGGCAGGGAGAAAAGCTGGAGCAAGAGGATAAAGAAAAAAGAGAGGGCTTCCCTGGTGGTGCAGTGGTTAGGAACCCGCCTGCCAATGCAGGGGACATGGGTTCGAGCCCTGGTCCGGGAAGATCCCACATGCCATGGAGCAACTAAGCCCGTGCACCACAACTACTGAGCCTGCACTCTAGAGCCCGCGAGCCACAACTACTGACCCTGCGTGCCACAACTACTGAAGCCTGCGAGCCTAGAGCCCGTGCTCCACAACAAGAGAAGCCACCACAATGAGAAGTCCGCGCACCACAATGAAGAGTAGCCCCCGCTCGCCACAACTAGAAAAAGCCCGCGTGCAGCAATGAAAACCCAACGCAGCCAAAAATAAATAAAAGCAAATCAATTTATATCAATAAATAAGAGAATCAGTGGGAAACTTGGGCCCTTAGAGTAGAATCTGTCCTTTGGAGTAATGACTCAGGAAGGAAGTAGTATCTTCTGCCTTTCAGCAAACGAAGTATACAATGTACTAAATGATAACAAATAGGGGCCACTAAGATAGAAAACACAGAGCAGGACCCCTGTGAGGTACACTAACAACGCCAATAATAATAAAGAGCTGTAATTCATTGTGTGCTTACTATGTGTCAGAAATAATAGGTACCTTACAAGCATTAGTTCAATGACTCCTCCTAACATTCCTAAGAGGTGGGTATTGATATTACCGCATTTGACAGGTGAGAAAACTGACTTAGAGAGATCATGACAATTGCCCAAGGTCACACAGCTATGAAATGAGACATCTGGGATCAAATTCAGATCTACTTGATTCCATACACTGTTGGCTTAATCGCTAACTGCCTCTCTAATACTAGTATCAGAAACTAACATTCACTAAGGGTCCATACTTCCTGTCAGGTCCACCGTTAGTCATGTCAATATATTATCTCACTTAATCCTCACTTTAACCCTGAAGGAAGGCATTATAAGCCTCATTCTAGAGATAAAGAAACAGGGCTCGAAAAGTCTAAGTAACTTGCAGGCAGCCACAATATTAACAAGCTAGTGGCTGGGCTGGGATTTCAGTCCAGGTCTGTCACAAACTGACACCAAAATACGCTGGTGAGCTTACTGGGAGGTGCCCAGCAGCTGTCAAGTGGACTTCCTCTTGGAGCCCAGCAGGAGGGAGGTGAAGGCTAGCCTGGCTAGCCATTCAGCTATTAAGACACATGCCATCTGAGAGTGGGCCAACCACCCTCCACCTAGAACAAGAATAGCCATGAGAAACTCTCAAGCCCGGATCTAAAGTTGGGTCTTTTTTGGATGCTAGAACAAAACATTAAAAAGAAAAGTTTTCTTGGAAGTCTGTCTTTCAATCTGGAAAATGAAATTTGGCTGCTTCTAAAGGACAATCTGTTCAGTTGCTACCTCTACATCAAAGCTTCCCAGCAGCCTCCAGGAGCCTTTCCAATTTTCTCAAAGAGGGAATCAGTTCTTCGGCTGGAAAGCATAGACAGACAGACAGGCCAGCAACTGGACTTGGGTCACAATTTTCCCTCTGGGGGTCAGCTCAGGGCTGAGGATGGGAAAAGAGCTGGCATATGATTGACTCCCTGTACCCACTGGGGTCAGAACAGAAACCCACGGGGTAAAGCCCTAAAAAACAAGACCGCTGAAAGTTTGACTGTGAGCAGCTCAACAACACAGCAAACTCTTTAGCTTCATGAAATGTCTTTAAACACTTCAAAGTTAAAACCTGCTATAGGGTCTTGCCATGATCACACTCTTGCTCCAGTACACACTCAGTGCACTATTTTCTGAGGTTAGGTACTTTCCTCCTCAACATCAAGTTGGATAAAATTAAATAATTCATTACTATTATGGGGCAGCAGTATTAACATAGTTGTTTGTTTAACGCAGACACCAGGGTCAGATATCCTGATTCAAAACCTTAACTCTAGGGCTTCCCTGGTGGCGCAGTGGTTGGGAATCCGCCTGCTGATGCAGGGGACACGGGTTCGTGCCCCGGTCTGGGAAAATCCCACATGCCGCGGAGCGCCTGGGCCCGTGAGCCATGGCCGCTGGGCCTGCGCATCCGGAGCCTGTGCTCCGCAACAGGAGAGGCCACAACAGTGAGAGGCCTGCGTACCGCAAAAACAAACAAACAAACAAAAAACCTTAACTCTACCTCTTACTTGGTATATGACTCTGGGTAAAGTTACTTTACCTCTCAGTGCCTCACTTTTCTTCTCTGTAAAAATGGGAAAACAAAAGAACCTACCTTACAGGATTCTTGTGAGGATTAAATGAGATAGGGCCTGTAGAACATTTAACAAAGTAGTTAGTATTTAATAGGTACTCAATAAATATTCACTATTGATTTTTAGTGAATTGTTTAAACACTAGGGTTTAAATTATCTTTGAAAAAACTCACTATTTAAGACTGCATCAATAAAATGATGAACCTCAATCTTTTTTTTCTTCAAGTTTTAAAAAATATATTTATCATATACTTACACAAAATTGATATATTTGATAGCTGAGTATTAGTAGCAGAAAGAAAGGTAGAACCTCAATTTTATTAACTCAAAATTTATTCACTAAGGAGTTCCTCTCCAAAGTATGAACTCTTAAGGGCTAAAAACAAAGCAGTCTGCAGACAACAGTGTGGTATTAAACACAAGCTTTACTGATTGGCTGGACGCCTCTGCCCCTAAGTGCTCTTTATAACAGAAATGATCTCCAAAAGACCAGTTAGCAAACACTGTGTGCTCACAGAGGGTACACTCATTTATGCCACAATGACATCATCAGAACATCCTGGAAACAAGAGTTGGCTCTTAAGCTATCTCACCAGTCAGAATCCCCAATATCTAGGTCTCTGGATCAAGACGTCTGAACACTTTGGCTCTGAGATGACAGAGTATCTATAACTTTGGCATTTTGTGAGGGCCCGTCCAAGAGGCTGACAGGCATATTGTTTACTGAGTAAAGAAACTCAATCTTCATGAAATATAACTGGTCTCACTTTTGTTGGAAGAGTGAGAATGACACTGACCAGCTACCTGGGACTCTCTATCCTTTTAAAAAGCTACTGAATTCTCAGGACTCTAAAAGTCAAGCCCTAAAAGACCAAAAATCCAAGGGAGTAATAGCCACTTTAAAGATGTAATCTTAGAAAGCAATATATCTATACACATTCTCTTCTTTTACCTCAAACCTGTCTGGCCTACTCTTTAGAATCCAAGGTGCAAGGAAGTCAGTCTCATTATTTTATAGATATTCTTTATCTGCCTATAAATGGTACTTTTCACACTTGCTCCTTTTTATTCACTGGCCACAGTTTGGAACCACTTTGGTTTGATTCTGAAATTTAATCTAACCACAAATGACAAAGATGGATCACAATGGAGCATAATACAAAGGAACATGATATAGGTCTAAAAGGTAATTCTCAAAGTGAGTCTTAGAAAACCTGAAGTAAGAGTGGTGTCACTGAAAAATGTGACATCAGATAACTACTTCAAAGGGCAAGACTAGGACAAAGCTCACTGAGATGTACACACTCTAATATACATAAACATCAGCTCACAATACTAACAGAACATCTCACAGAGGTAGGTCTCATTTAGAAACTATAAAATAGGGCTTCCCTGGTGGCGCAGTGGTTAAGAATCTGCCTGCCAATGCAGGGGACACAGGTTCGAGCCCTGGTCCAGGAAGATCCCACATGCCACGGAGCAACTAAGCCCGTGCACCATAACTACTGAGCCTGCGCTCTAGAGCTCGCGTGCCACAACTACTGACCCTGCGTGCCACAACTACTGAAGCCCGCGCGCCTAGAGCCCGTGCTCCACAACAAGAGAAGCCACCACAATGAGAAGCCTGCGTGCCGCAACGAAGAGTAGCCCCCACTCGCTGCAGCTAGAGAAAGCCCGTGTGCAGCAACGAAGACCCAACACAGCCAAAAATAAATAAATAAAAATTTTTAAAAGTAAAAAAAAAAACTGTAAAATACAAAAAATTATAAAACACAAAAATATTAAAATGGATTACAATTTCTATTTTGCAGTTATTTTCATTCACAGGCAATATGTTATAGTAGAAAAATTCCTGGATTTTAAGCCAGATGACACAGGATCAAGGCTTGACTAAGCAAACTTGGGCAAATCACTTAGCCTTTTTATAAGTTTCAATTGTTTATGAAAACAAAAGAAAAATGAAAATAAGAAATACAAGCCCTTTCCGGTCTCACATGTTTTGTAATTCCTAAATGAGACAAAAGTAAAAGCATACCATGTAAGTGTGAATTATTAAAATATAATAGTTAATAATTTTAATAAACTTTTATTTTTATAAGTAGTTTACAACAGATTATAAATTGAAGCATGATATATTAATTTAAATATGTAATAATAGTCTCATTATTCAAGAATCTTCAATAATGAGGATTAGCTAAACAAAGATAGCTAGTAAACATCCTTTCAAAATAATTATAAAAAGTTTATGAGTTATTTAATATTAAATAGATGTGTAGGATGAGGTTTTAAAAAGATCTGATGAAAAATACTTGTGTACATGGATTCAAGAAACCACTTGAGAAAAATCCAGCTTCTAATATTAATAGTCTCTTCATCAGGTAGAGAAAGATTATTTTCTCCTTTCACACTAATTTCTCCTAAAGTAAGAAATTGTTAGAGATTAAAAAAGGAGGAAAGTTTTCTTTCCTGACTATGAGTAAATAAGAAATGGAAGGTGGATACTAAATTAGGATTACAACTCAGCACAGTATTTTAAGTTTCCAATGAAATATTGTACCGATCTGCTGAAATAGTAAAAATGACAAAACTTGCATTTAATTTAAAAAAACAAAATAGTTATTAAATAATCAAAACTTCATCTCTTTCTTCATTGTTGTTAACATAATTATATATAATTATTGGCTGTCCATGAAAAATATCAAGTATATTTAGTTAAGTGTTTGTTGCTTTGAGGATAATGACTGTTACCACAGATGTGCACAGAACACATTTCCTTCCAAAATCTGTGGAACTGGAAACAGCTTAAACTTTCCCAATGACTTTATAAGTATCTGCTTTAAATGACATGTTTATAACTACAACAGTTTACATTAACAAAATGAATACTGTATTGATATAATCAACTGCTAGTGATGATGATATAAACCAGTAAAACACTTTTGGAAAGCAATTTATCAATGGGATAAAAATAAAATTATATGTGCCTTTTGACTCAACAGTCCTTCTACAGAAAGAAGAAAAATCATGAGGCATATTCCAGGGTTAACTAAAACAATTATAAACTAGAAATAAAAGAGGAATGATTGGGCAGAAGTTCATGTCAAAAATACTGAGTAAAACATCCAGAACGTAAAACAGGATGTGTTTACTCTGAGTACACTCTTATGTAAAAAGATGCATGTGTGGACAAGGGGGAATGATGATGTCAAAGTACTGGACAAATTTTTAGGTCTTTTTTCAAACTTGTTAAAATGTCTTATTTATAGGGCTCTTTTGGCCTTTGTTTATTCTATTAAAAGAGAAAAATAAGCAGCTTTTATTATACATTTTGTTCAGGAAAAACTGTTTTACTAGTAACTTAAAAAGAAACCCGATCCTACCAAGACACAATCATAAAAATGAAAAGTAGATTTATTTTCCTTTTCACAACTATCAAAAATAGTAACTTACTTCGAAAGAATTCCTCGAAGTCAGTTTTCTCCACACAGCTAGTATACATGCGCAGGGCCGCAATCTTAATCTTCTAGACAAAGAAAATAAAACCAAACTCAAGACATGACCAAGTGAATGTTCTAGTGCCATTAGATGTAGGTCACAGAATCTTATATGTTTTCAACTAGAAGGATGGGTCCAAACCTGTCTCTAGCCATTCACAGACTTCACACAATTTTACGATTTTGGCATCAAAATGTCAAAAAGGTTTTTCCAATATTTAGACGAACTCTCTCCTTTAATTCAAACCCATTTCACCATGTTTCAGCCTCTAAACCACCATTCAGAACCATCCACATTAATTCTTTATAATCTGAAACCCTTTATATTAAAAAAATTACCCATTCTCCTTACCAAAATCAAACAAACAAAACCCTCCATCCTTTGATCTTTCCTCAGAAGCCCTATTAACTATTCTGTCTTTTTTTTCCCTGAAGGGAGGGGGTCACTTTTTTTTATGTTTTCCCTAGTTTTATAGTTTGCTGATTAACAGAATACTATGTTTATAAATAAGAGTTTCTAATGAATGTAAAATATAGTAAAAGGATCAACCTTTTACTATTCCCCAAAGCACTAAGAATTCTCTTAGAATCTTGATCTGGGTGGTGGTTTTAATTTATTCACTGAGCTGTATACTTAAGATTTGTATATTTTACTGTATGTACATTATGCCTTCACAAAAACCTAAAAATGAAAAATAAATTCTTGTAAGGGTTGACTGTAGGCCTGAAGACCAACTCAGTGCTAAAAGAAGAAGAATTTCTAAGGGCTTTCAAAATATTTCCTTCAGGATACAATTAAACTAGTCCATCAACAAAAGGCTCGTAGAAGCTTATTTTTCCTTAAAATGACAGAGAAAATTACTCAAATATACACAGACTAAAAAATATGTATATGCAAAGAGAATGGCATAGCAACTGAAGAAAAACCAACCTAGAATTTTAGCAGAGCTGTTTGGTTATTAAGGTTCAAAGTCACCAAGGATATACTATATCCAATACTATATAATATTCATATTTCAGTTTCTGATGGGCAGAAATACCTATAATAAATTAAAGTATTATGTCTTTGATTGCAATTAAGATTTTTTCATTTGCTAATGTTAAGTTTTCAATGATTTTAGTCTAAAGTTCATATGGGGGAAAACAGAACAGAACATATAACAAATGGAAATCAGATATACTTATATGAGCAGTAAATCAGCATTGGAAGTCCACATTTAAACAAATAGTGAGACACTAAAAAAGAAAGAGCAAATTAAACCTAAAAGCAAGCAGAAAGAATGATATATAAAGATAAGAGCAGAAATCAGTGAAATTGAAGACAGAAAAATAACACAGAAAATCAAAAGAGGCCAGAGCTGGTTCTCTGAAAATATCAATAAAATTGACAAAAATTTAGTAGCACTGATCTAGGGGGGAAAAAAAGGAAAAACAGAGAAGATACAAATTACCAACATCAGGAATCAGAGAGGAGAGGAACATCACTACATATCCTAAAGATATTAATAGGATAATAAGGGAATATTTTGAACAACTTTAGGCCAATAAATGTGACTACTAAGATGAAATGGACAAATTCATTGAAAGATACAAACTACCAAAGCTCACTAGAATAAATAAATAACATGAATAGTCCTATCTCTATTTTAAAAATTGGATTTGTGGCTAAAAACCTTTCCCCAAAGAAAACTCCAGGCTTGATGGCATCACTAGAGAATTCTATTGAATATCTAAAGAAATGATACCAAATCTACACAAACTCTTCCAGAAAAAAAGAGGAAAGAACACTTCCCAGCTCATTCTATGAGCCAACATTACCCTGGTGTCAAAACCAGTCATCAGAAGAAAACAAAACTACAAAACCATAGCCTTCATAAGCATAGATCCAAAACTCCTTAACAAAATACTAACATCAATATTTTAAAAGGAGATCATATCATGATCAACTGGGATTTATCCCAGGAATGCCAAGTTGATTCAACATTCACAAATCAGTAAGTGTAATTCACCATATCAGCAGTCTAAAAAAGAAGCATGTTTAACTTTTTAACACCTGAGGTTCTAGGAAGTATGTGACATAGAACACATTTTGGGAAGCACTTGTTTGTACCATCACCAAACTAATGATATCCTAATGATATCGTTATCCTAATGCTTTGGCCTTGACAGGCCTATTCCTATCCTTGAAACAGAGAGTTTAGGACATCTATAAGCTTTTGTTCCAGTCAACAAATAATTTATTGAGCACCGAACTCAGTGCCTAAAACTGATTTGGACACTAGGAATACAGCAGTAAACAAAGCAGTTAAAAACTCTTTTCATGGAACTTAAGGCCTAGTTCAACTATCAATACATTTATAATTTTAAGTAAAATTCCTAATGGCCTGTGTTTTGATTTTTTTTTTAACTCGGCAGTTTCCTTCTGATTCTGGTTCATAATTAATCACTCTGCCTAAGGAAAAGCACACTTGCCTCCAAGGCCCAAATCGTTCCATGAGAAAGAGGTTTTTCCCCAGAACATGTTCATGAAGCAAGCATTCATTACAAATAATGAAGACTTCACCAGATTGGCCAGTGTATGTATACAGTGCTCATACTGCAGCAATCAGGAGCATTTTAGAGTTCCTCACTTTTCCTGCAGCGAGGCCAAACCTTTATACTTGGGTGAGCCATTTTCCTGGACAAATCTCTAAAGCAAGTCCCTTAAGACCATCACACAGGGACTGGAAATAACAACTCAGGGAAAGAACCTCTTCAAGATTCATGCATTAATATAAGTTAAAGAAGTAGGTGGACTAAATTTCCATCCAGTCAATACAAATTGTTCTGGTCCTCAGATGACTTCATTCTAACTTTGGAAGACTTCATCAGTCTACTTGACTAAAACACAAGCACCTAAGACAGGTTTAGGAAATGAAAATCAGCTCTCCCACTAACTGATGCATTTTGTACCATCCCACAAGATAAAAAAACGAATCTAGTAAAAGGCTTACACTAAAACAACTGTGTGAGAGTTGGAAGGGGCTTTGAAGTCATTTGAACTTTCTATTCTGTACTGGAATTCCTTCTACAGCATTCTTGATTCATGGTCAACTATCTGGGCCCCTGTTCAAACAAGTCCAATGACCTTGTGAGGCTACCTATCCCACTGGAGGACAACTCTTGCTAAAGTTTTGTTATATTGAACATAAATCTGCTTCATGTAACATTCAGTAAACACTATCTGCACACTGGAATACCTCAGATTAAGTCTCCATTTTTTTTACATTTGCCCCTCAAACACCTGAGAAGAACCATTATGTCTTCTCTTTTCCAGGCAAAGTATCCCTATTTCCTTCAACCACTCTGCATTCAACAGTTTCTGAAGCCTTCACAAGGCTCACTGCCCACTTCTGAATGCATTCCAGTTTGTCAGTGTCCTTCAGAACAGGAATAACTTTTTGGCTTAATGCTAATCTGAAAACCGCCTATTCAATGACATGTGGCTCAATCTGTTAAATGTTATCCTTATCTTATCTGATATTGCTCCATAAAGATAATGAAAAAGAATAGTTATTTCAGGATAATCAAATAGGTAAGGGAAAGCCACATTTAAATTCCTAAATATGGATCTAGAAGAAAAATGGAACTACACATGAAAACATTACATAAAAAGATGGAGGAAAGCTGGCTGATACTGCTGATGCAGAGACAAGCAGACATTTTACTCCCTAATGAAAGACATGAGAAAACACAAAATTCAAAGATTCTTGCCAGTGCAACCCAATACACATGTCTGCCACAGATTTCTGAGTCAACATTTGCTGAAAAGGGCTCTCAATCTTTCAATATGGAAAATTATACCTACATCTTCCTACCCAAAATATACTAGAATGTCATACTTTGATGTTTTCATGTTACAAATTTAAAAAATGAAGGTTACAGGAAGTAGACACTGCCACATCACAAAAGAGTTTTTAAATGCAAATATTAGGGACTTAGTTGAGGTCACAAGGGAACCAAGAAAAATCAGAGACTAACTTAAACAGTGAAGAAATTTTCCTGATGAGTTAGTAATCCTCCAAATGGTAGCCAACTTTGCCCCTGGAATCATAAAAATACGGACGAGACAAAGCATATGGAAGCAACCAAGTGGAACTCAACCATCAAGAAATGAATAAAACAGTAAATTTTTTCTCTTTTCTTTCTTTCTTTCTGCTCTCATTTCCCTTTTAATTTCTTACTTTCAAACAAAACACACATTTTAAGTTTTTCAATCCAAATGTATTATCGCAAATATTTTTTTAATAAAGGAAAAGATCCTGGTTAATAATATTACCAAATATACCAGTGATTATCATTTGTCAAGAATTATGATGTAAAAAAAGATAACTTTAATGAGCATAACTAATATTTCATTAATGATTAAGAAGACACTTCATAACCTTAGGGTCTCAAGGACATCATTATAACCTAGTTATGTGTGTGCTATCTTCTATACTTTTCAAAGCCCCTTACAAACAAAATGCTTGTGGAATCACTGTTCAATTTATGTAAAACGGAGATTACAGAGAGAAGCCTATATTTGCTACAGTGAGAATTGTTAGGAAGAGAGCCAGATATTATAAGAAGAAACTAAAAGTAAAGTTCACAATAAAATTGAAATTCTAATTTTGCTCCAACTTGTTAAAATGGTGTAACTGGAATAATTTAGTCATTTTGGGCAAAGTTATAATGTTTTCTAGAAAAGTCTTCCCTACTGCTTTATGTTGGTTTGCTTTAATATATAACTTATGACTGATTAGGCTTATCCCACATTTAGCAACCTTGAAAAGTATTAAAAGGTACTTTTGCCATAACTGTAGAGAGAAACAGTAGTACTAGGAGATAACTGGGCTGAGAAAAACCCAATGACTTGTGTTTTATTATTTTAATTGGTTAGAGGCATTGCTATAAAAGTCCAGGGGCAGTAGCACCTGATGTAGAGAGGACATTCATTCATTTATAGCAAGTACCATAAAACAGATAACATGCTAGGCCAAGACCTGATTAGGAATGACACAGTTAGCAAACAGCCCTCATAATATGAATTACAATAAATCATAGAATTGATTAATTTTAAAAATGCTTATTAGTAAAATTTTAAAGGAAGTCATTACAATGACCTAGGGAAAAATCACTTATGAATCACAGAGAGTGTTTCCTTAAGAGCAGTCCCCATCAAAACATTTGGCCCATCTAACTTCTGAGAACTCATCTATATGGCATAACATGTAGCAAAGACCTGGAAAGACCAGTGTTATTGGATTGCCTGCTACTGAGATACTTCTAAGGAATCAGGTTAAGGGAGTAGAGGGACTATTTCAGCCCCACATGCTGTATAGACCTGACCTGGAACGGGGGGCAAGGGGACAACAACATATTCTGAAGCTCTCAAAATAATATAAGCATTTCACAAAAAGCAAAGCAGAAGCTTTAAAAAATTCTTCTGTGAAGAGCAGAAAGCACAAAGCTCAAGAAGAAAAATGAAAACAACTTAAAAGACTTTACCCATTTACTGTATTTCAAAGGTCCTGTGAATCCCATGGCTTCTATTATCTTTGTGAAGGCACCAACCTTCTCCTCAACAGGCTGTGGGGAATCCTTGGTAGAAGAAAGCTATTTATTCAAAAAGAAGGAAACCAAAATTAGTTGCAAAAAAGTTTTTTTAAAAGAATGCTTTTATTTCTCACTAGGGTCTAAGGGCATTTTTTATTGCTTAGATTTTTTTTTTTTTTTTTTAACCTAGAATTTTTCATTCTCATTTTTCTGGGTACCTTATCACTCAGTACAAACACATCTGGAACCCTAATAGGTGTCCTCTAAATTCCAGAGCAGACATACCCACCTCACTGACCATATGTCTATGAACCCATGTCTAGGAAATGATAGATTTGGGGTATCAGAATAAAAGTTCTATGGAAAAGAGTACTTTAAAAAAGAAATCTTGACCCCCACCTCCCAAAGAACAATTCTGAGAAACATGTTCTATGTTTATTGACATTATGGGAAAAGGAAAGAAAAATACTGTCTGAAAGCAGTCAAAAGTCATTCAAAGTCATAATCAATCAAAGCATGCACTGAATAAATGTTTTTAAACTCTTTTATTTTTTATTAATGACTATAGGAGATACAGTTTTGTAGTTTGCAAATAAATTCAAAGGAAAACCTATTCTAATGCTAATCCTCTCTAAATGAAGGCAGGCTATACATCCAATAAGAAATTCTCCATCAGTTAAATATTACTTTATTTTTAACATATAAAAAAATCTACGACACTTTTTCTCTAAAGTGTTTTCTAAGCAAGAGAGTACAATGGAAGAAATATAGGACACGGGATCAGACACCTCAGGTTCCAATATTCAGTTGGTCTGTCTCTTCCCATCCTTGTGACCTCGGGCAAGTCACTTTACTTCCCTGAGCCTCACCTTCTGCATTTGATAAAATTTCTTGCCTCATCCAGCTAACAATTTTGCTGAATTTCAAGTAAGAACACTTGTGTGAAAGCACGCTATAGACACAGAAAGAACTTGTAAGTCTCACCTTATTTGTGGTATGATACTTCCTACTTAGCTGAATGTCTACTACTGATCCACCACATGCTAGGGCCTGGCTCATCTGGGGCCACTGGGGGATTTAAAAAAAAAAAAAAAAAAAAAACAGAGGTAAGCAACACTGAGCATTCACTTAGAGGGTTAATGTGATCAGAGTTGTTTCAAAGTAAAAAATACAGAATCTTTCTAGCCTTGTTTAACTCAATTCCTAATGTTGCCTACTACACGCTCAATAAACATCTGCTGAATATCTGAATAAGTAAAAGAACGTAAAGTACCTTTCACAAAATAGGTACTCAATAAACAGTAAAAGTCTTCATCATCACCATCATTATCAACATCATTGTCGTTCAGATCAGAACTGTCTTCCTCCAATGTTCACACTGCATTTGAAAGCACTTTGGCAATATAATAGACATTAGTTAAAATTATATGCCAGGCACTATGTATCTGCCTTACCTATGTTACCTTATGTAATCCTCACCACAATCCTACCAGGTTGGTATTATTATAATCAAGACGAGTAAACATAGTTTTGAAAATAAATTCCTAAGGAAAAAAACAATATGCAAGAGATCCTCATTGTAGCATTGTTCACAAGTGTGAAAACTGGGGAATAAGTCCAATAAGAAAGGAGGTGGTTAATTAAATTAAGGTACAGTCACCCAATGGGAAATCAGATAATCAGATTTTTAATAGGCTTTATTTTTAAAAGCAGTTTTAGGTTCACACCAAAAATGAGCAGAAAGTACAGACTGCTCCCATATACCCCCTCCCACACAGCCACAACATCCTCCACTATCAACATCCCCTAACAGAGTGGTACATTTGTTACAATGGATGAACCTACACTGACACATTATCACCTAAAGTCCACAGTTTACATTAGAGATTATTATTTTTAGCAACATGAAAACACTTATAATATGTATAAAATTATAGGTAAACACATGAATGCATAGGGGCAAGTCTAAAAAGGAACACACAGAAATGAAAGAGTTATTTTGCTATGCTGGTAGAATTACGGAAGAGTTTAAGAATCTAGTTTCCAAACTCTCAGTAATGTTTTATTTCCTTTACAATATAAAGGGGTGGGAAAGGAGCAGCAGGAGGGTTCAATTCTGGCTTATTCCAAGAGATGGGACACATGAAATGAAAATGATTTTTTCTTTAATCCTAATGAAGGAAAAAAATAGAATTTCTAAATGTGGAGAGTTACTATTTACTTTTCTTTCCAAACAAGGATATTAAAAGATTAGTCAGGATTCTTCTGGTCAGTCCCAAGAACACTTATGCTTTAATTCACAGGTATCAAGCAGGCTTTGTAACACAGAGACTAAACACAGAACACCTCCCATTACATCACATATATCAGTGTAATGGTCCACTAGAACATGAAGCACTTAAACAGGCTCAAAGAACACAACTAACAGCAGTTTCAACAAGCTGTGCTTTGGGGCAAGGTGTATGTCATGATCTTTTTCTTCCCCTATAGCTCCTTACTTTTTGTATTACCCATTCTTGCCCTTGCCCCCCGAAAAGATTCCCTTGACCTTTAAAAACATTAATTTTTCCTCTGTTTAAACCAAAAAGATATCAAGTAACTTTCTGTGAAAAAGAAAAAATACCCCAAAATACTCAAATGTCACTTTTTCAAAGAGGCCTTTTCTGACCACTTTATCTAAAATAGTTTCTTATCATCCCATTATTCTCTATCATAGCAGTACCCTGTTCACTTTACTCATAGTACTCATTACAATGTACAATTATATATTTATTACACACTCTTATTTTCTATCACCACCACCAAAAATATCCATGAAGGTAGGAACTAGGTGTAGTACCAGAATCAAGTACAGTGTATTATACACAGGAAACCCTCAAACATTTGTTGAATGAACAAACCCAACCACCTGTATGGTTATTTCTTATTATATCCTTCTTGTTCTTATCCACACACATGCCATGCATACATGTTTCATTTATCAAACCTTTATTAAATACCCACAATATGCCAGCCCTTGTGCCAGTTTTTAAGATAAAACAATTACTATCCTATGGAGCTCATAATGTTGTGGAGAAGAGAAAGAAAACTCACTACACAAGAAAGAGAACCGAATATCACATTTAAAAATGTTTAAAGACCACCCACCAAACACACACACACACACACACACACACACACACAAAGTGCTAGAAAGGATACAGAGCAACTAGAACTCTCATACTCTGCCGATGGTAGTGTAAAATAGTACGGTCACTTTGGAAAATTATTTGGCAGTATCTATGAAGCTGAATGTATACATTCTTTAAGATTCAACAATTTCATTCCTAAGTGTATATCCCAACAGAAATGTGTACATATATTCACAAAAAAACATGTACAAGAATGTTCATAAAAGCACTATCAATAAAAGCCCAACTGGAAGCAATCTAAATATCCATCAATAAGTAAATGTCATATAGAGTGAAGCAGGTCATAAAGAGAAAAACAAATATCATATATTAATGCATATATGTGGAATCTGGAAAACTGGTATAGATGATCTTATCTGCAAAACAGAAATAGAGACAGACGTAGAGAACAAACGTATGGACGCCAAGTTTCTACTATATGGCAAAGTGAATCAGCTATATATGTACATATATCCCCTCATTTTGGGATTTCCTTCCCATTTAGGTCACCACAGAGCACTAAGTAGAGTTCCCTGAGCTACACAGTAGGTTCTCATTAGTTATCTATTTTATACATAGTATCAATAGTGTATATATGTCAGTCCCAATCTCCCAATTCACCCCACCCCCCTTCCCCCTTGGTGTCCATACGTTTGTTCTCTACGTCTGTGTCTCTATTTGTTTTGCAAATAAGATCATCTACACCATTTTTCTAGATTCCACATATATGCGTTAATATATGATGTTTGCTTTTCTCTTTCTTACTTCACTCTGTATGACAGTCTCTAGGTTCACCCACATCTCTACAAATGACCCAAATTTGTTCCTTTTTATGGCTAATATGCCGTTGTATATATATACCACATCTTCTTTATGCATTCCTCTATTGATGGACATTTAGGTTGCTTCCATATCTTGGCTATTGTAAATAGTGCTGCAATGAACATTGGGGTACATGTGTCTTTTTGAATTATGGTTTTCTCTGGGTATATGCCCAGTAGTGGGATTGCTGGGTCATACAGTAGTTCTATTTTTAGTTTTTTAAGGAATCTCCATACTGTTCTCCATAGTGGCTGTATCAATTTACATTCCCACCAACAGTACAAGAAGGTTCCCTTGGGCTTCCCTGGTGGGGCAGTGGTTAAGAATCCGCCTGCCAATGCAGATGACATGGGTTCAAGCCCTGGTCCGGAAAGATCCTGAATGCCACGGAGCAACTAAGCCCATGTGCCACAACTAGTGAGCCTGCACTCTAGAGTCCACAAGCCACAACCACTGAGCCCACATGCCATAACTACTGAAGCCTGTGCTCCTAGAGTCCCTGCTCCGCAACGAGAAGCCACTGCAATGAGAAGCCTGCGTGCCGCAACAAAGAGTAGCCCCCGCTTGCCACAACTAGAGAAAAGCCCGTGCGCAGCAATGAAGACCCAACACAGCCGAAAATAAATAAATAAATTAATTTTTTTAAGAAAAAAGACATATTAAGATTTTGCTTTTATTTTTTGCTTCCTAAAAGGTTCTAAAAATGAAAAGACCTCCCTGATAGAGAGAGGGAGAGAAGGGGAGAGAGAGAGAGGGAAAGAGACAGAAAGAGAGAGAGAGAGAAGGAAGGAAGGAAGGAAGGAAAGAAGGAAGGAAGGAAGGAAAGAAAAGAAAGAAAGAAAGAAAGAAAGAGAAAGAAAAGAAAGGAAGGAAGGAAGAAAGAAAGGGAAAGAAAAAAGAAAGAAAGAAAAAGGGAAAGGAAAAGAGAAAGGAAAGGAAAGGAAAAAGGAGGGCAGGACTCAAGCAATTCTTCAACACTATATGTATCTGGTCCTTTCAGCAAAGCTATAAGCTCCACCAGGAGACAGTCTATCTTATACTTCTTTTATTTTCTGTCCCATTGCTCAACACCATTCTGGGCATGGAGTAGGCACTCAATAAAAACTAGGTGGAGTTTTTTTTTTTTCCAAATAGAAGGACAATCTGGAGAAGGTCCAGAAAAGAACCACAGGAATGATCAAAGAGATGAATAAAAGGTCCTAGTGGAAAGGTTAAAATAAATTGAAGCTGTTTAGCTTGGAGAAAAAGCAACTGAAGAACTAAGGAGTAACCTAGAATAACAACACTTGAGCTGGAAGGAATCTCAGAGATCTTCTGGAAGGAATCTCAGAGATCTTCTAAGTCCAACCTTTTCCTTTCACAGATGAGGAAACTAAGACACAGGGAGAGGGTGCAACTTGCTTAAGGTAGTTTTAGGATTAAAAAAAAAATTTTTTTTTAAGTTTCAATTTACAAGGTGAGGAGAACATTTACCCAAGTAGCATGAACATAAATAGCAACAAAAATAGCAGTTACAAGTTACTGAAGATCTCCCATATGCCCAGCACCTGTACACTTGCTGTTTTACTTATGTTATCTCACAACAACCTCGAAAAGTTGATACTATTTTTTCCCATTTTAGAAATAAGAACACTAAGGCTCAAAGAAGTAAAGTTCATTAAGGGGTAAAACATGTATTCAGAGCTATCTTCTTTGCCCTATATCTAACTGATTTCAAAAACCTGCGTAGAGTTCAACAACACTGGCTCATGTACACTTAGCACCCAGATCTTAATTTCTGAATATTCCAAATATCATTCTCCAATAAAAGGAACCAGGGCTCCCGGGGGGAAACTGTTAACTCTAGGGCTAGAGCAAAGAAAATACAACATGAACCTGAAACATCTTGTGGTGCCAAGAAACAAGGAAGTGTTCAAAAAATGAAGGCACGTAGAAAGGAACTTGAAGGAGTTCTCAACAGCCAAACATGGAACAATTTGATCAACAAAATAATGAGAATAATGTATTATAACTCACAGAATAAATATCCATTAGCTCATACTGATACAAACAAAACAATCGAATAAATAAATAAATGGAGAGAAAGTGACAGCTCTTCCTTACAGTAGAATTCCAATCAAGAAATGTAGTAGGAAATGATGGAATTCAAAAATGACCATCAAGCAAACACCATAGTAATGACTGTCGCAGTCAAGAACCATAAATAGAATTACCACATGATACCACAATCCCACTTCTGGGTATATATCCAAAAAATTCAAAGCAGGATCTTGGAGAGATGCTTGCACACTTATGTTCACTGCAGCATTATTCACAATAGCCAAGATATGGCAGTAACCCAAATGCCCACTGACAGAAGAATGGATAAAGAAACTGTGGCATAGATATACAGATATAGATATAGATAGATAGACAGATACAATGGAATATTATACAGCCTTAAAAAAGAAAGAAATCCTGCTCCCACTCCTCACCCCTGGGTGCCCACAGACCCAACAATAAACCCTTATAAGACATTTTACACAAACATTTACAAGTTGTTGTAATAAATTATTCAGCTTAGGCTGCTTCATCTTTTGTAGTTTTGGGGCCTTTTCTTAATCCTTTAAAATGAACATCACTGATTGATCCTTTCAGTCACTATCTTCTAAGATCTTGGAAGTTTTGGAACATTTTTATATTTATGCAAAAAAAGGAACAAAATAGTTGAAATAAAAGTTTTTATCAAAACTCCACTTCCTGGGGCTTCCCTAGTGGCACAGTGGTTAAGAATCCGCCTGCCAATGCAGGGGACACGGGTTCGACCCCTGGTCCGGGAAGATCCCACATGCTGCGGAGCAACTAAGCCTGTGAGCCGCAACTACTGAGCCTGGGCTCTAGAGCCTGCGAGCCACAACAAGAGAAGCCACCAAAATGAGAAGCCCGTGCACCACAAAGACCCAATGCAGCCAAAAAAAACCCAAAAAAACCCCACAACATTGTAAATCAACTATATTTCAATAAAAATTATTTTAAAAACTTCAAAAAAAGAAAGTATGATGAGAAACAGGATATTTGCATAATCTCAAAGTATCTTCTCACAAGACACCTACTAATTACAAAGGGGAAAATAGTACTTTATAGTAGAGGAAGCTGACAGACACCAATTTAATAACCAAGTCATCAAAGTTAACATCACCAGTAATAACTGGCATCATGTATCCCCTGATGTGACCCACTGAGAAGGAAACAATATCACTTTTGCCAAAAATGCATAGCCTCAATCTAATTTTAAGAAAATATTAGATGAACCCCAATTGAGAGACCAAAAAAAAGGACATTAATGGGGGAAAAAAGTAAAATTGGAATAAGGTGTATAGATTAGTTAATAGTATCACATCAATGTTCACTTCCTGGTTTCAATAATTGCTATAAGATGCTAACATTAGAGGAAGCTAGATGAAGGGTATAAGGGAACACTACCATTTTTATAACTTTTCTGTAAGTTTAAATTATTTCAAAAATTAAAAAAAACTTTTTTTTTTTTTTTGCGGTACGCGGGCCTCTCACTGTTGTGGCCTCTCCCATTGCAGAGCACAGGCTCCGGATGCGCAGGCTCAGCGGCCATGGCTCACGGGCCCAGCCGCTCCGCCGCACGTGGGATCTTCCTAGACCGGGGCACGAAGGCGTGTCCCCTGCATCGGCAGGCGGACTCTCAACCACTGAGCCACCAGGGAAGCCCTAAAAAAAACTTTTTAAGTAGACTCATCAAAGTATGACAGAACTTCAAGAGGTTACTTAGAAAAGACAGATTAGAGTCCAATGTCCCTAGCCTTTTGAAAATGATAATAGGATTACAGCATTGGACATTACCTTAGAGATCATCTGATACTACCACTCATCCAATGGAGGATACTTTTATGTCAAGCCCCTAACATAGCCTTCCAATCATTGCTTGAATACTTCCAGTAAAAGTAAATTTACTTTGTTAAAATACAGCCAACACATCCCATTACACCACAATTCTAGTTAACACAAAGTTCTTCCTCATTCTAAGCCAAATCTGCCTCCCTGTCAGATATGTACCTAAGGATGTCATTCTGAAGCAGAGTTTTCCAACCAGGAGAACTCAAAGATGGGAAGATGTACCAGTGAGGTAACATCAATATGACAAAATGTCCAGTTTATTTATAATCTTGTCAGCATGAGATAAACAATTTTAAGTTATTTACATGGATGTTTCTCTATAATGCCATCCCAGAGCCTAATATAGTATCTGGTATATACTAGGTACCCAATAAATGTTTATTGATTCAAAGAATGAGGCACAACTCAGAGACTGATATAATGAGTTCCTCCTTCCACCATCTCTGCACACATTATTTACAAATGATTTAGAACTATAGGATAAATTCTACTAAAATTTTCCAGTGCACAGAAATAAAAATAAAAATAGAACCTAGCCCAACTCTGAAAAGAAACAGCTACACGACTACCCAAAGTAGATGCCTCTTTTGCACAAGCATATTCTTCATTCATTCAACATACATTTAGTGCCTTCTCTGTGCCAGACTTAGTGAGAAGCCCAGGAAATACAGGTAAAAATAAGACATGTCCTCAGAAGGGCAAGGCTTATACACTAGCTGGAGGGAATTACTCTATATTTTAAGTATTTTAATATATTTTATTTATTTATTTAAATTATATAATATATAATTATATACATCAAAAATAATTTTTCATTGCATTAAATATGAAAAAGAAAGTGAATGGCTATAAAAGGAATTTACATAAATTGGTAATGAAAATAAATTCCCAGTAGATAAACAGAGAAATGATGTAAATATGTAATTTTTACAAACCAGAATATAACTGATAAACAGAAAAATGTTTAACCCTGATAAAGAAATGCAAAGCAAAACAAGGTAACATTTTCTACCCAATTAGTTTAAATTTTTTTAAAACACCCAATTTAGGGGAGGTAATGATGAAAAACTAGTTATATAAACTTGCTGGTGGCAGTATAAATTAAAACAACTTTTTGGAGAGGAAAACTGCTTATACCCTTTGACCTAGGGTACACCCTCCTAGAAGTTCATCTTTAATAAATAATTAAAAATAAGAAATACTATATAACAATAAAATGGTAACCACATTAAAGTCTACAAAAAATCTGTAGATAATTTTAATATAAACAAAGGTTAAATAAATAACATGTAGCCATTTAAAAAATTAATTATGAAATCTATCTAACAACGTGAATAATGTCTGCTCTAATAAGTGAAAAAGCACCAGAACATAAAATTCTGTGGATATTTGTTAAGGTACCGAGGGAAAAAATTAGTACACACATACATACTTAAGGACTGGAAAAGAACCAGCAGATGTTTTCAGGTTTGAAGTCATGGGTGATTTTTATTTCCTTTATTACTAAATTATTTGTACAATTAACAAAAATCAGGAGAAAAAACTCTCAAGGAGGGTCCAAAGTAAACTACTTTATAAAGAATCATGTGATCAGTGGTAAACTAAGGCCTGAAATAATTGTTCCTTGGATTTTTATGTTCATAAAAAGGAAAAAAATGAAGAAACATTTCTTACCCCAAATAAAAGCGGCATAAAGTGGCTACAAAAAGAAAACTGAAGAAAAGTTAACTCTGAGATGAATATCTGGAAACACTCCCAACAGTAAAAATCATCAGACTGTAGCGTGGTATCCTAGGCTAAGTTCCACTGCTGGGGTATTTAGAAGCAACGCCCTAGACACCATACAGTAGGAATCAGTCCTGAGCTGGCACCACAGAGACCCAGAAGTGGTCTCATGAGGTTTTTCCATCACACAATTCGGTTGGTTAATCTATAAATACATGACATTTGCACATAAACACTAAGGTTTTTTCATACCAAGCAAAGGAATAACAAATCTTACCTGGGAAGTACCAGACAGAGCCCTGCCCCACTGTCCCTGTGTATGAGACACAAGTAGCAATCGGCTGCATACTGGAACCCACTGGGAGATGCTAATCCGGTTCCTCTAGAGAAAGAAAAAAATAGTTTGTCAGGAATCTATATCAGACTCCATGTGTAGAAGGCAAAGAGCGTACCTAAGTCTAGAAATTCTGCCAGAACAGGGCACATGAAAGGAGAATTTCCAAAACAGGACTAGGACCAAGCCTCCCCATGCTCACCTCTCCAAGGATAAAATGTACCCCTGCCTACCACGGACTAGACGAATTCTGGTGATAGCTGACCCAAACTGGAGGACATGAGCTCCCTCTCAGGAAAGTAACAAAATAAACCTCCTTCAGGCATTTTACAGTTAGCTTATCATTTAAATCAGTTTGCAATTCCTTTTCATAAACACTGATTTATAAGCTCTTCATAAAATCCCTTTACAGTGAACAGTGCCAGGATTACCATTAACCCCAAAAGGATGAAGAAACTAAGGCTGAAATTTTTATTTTTATTTTTTATTTTTTTGCGGTATGCGGGCCTCTCACTGTTGTGGCCTCTCCCATTGCGGAGCACAGGCTCCGGACGCGCAGGCTCAGCGGCCATGGCTCACGGGCCCAGCCACTCCGCGACATGTGGGATCTTCCCGGACTGGGGCACGAAGCCGTGTCCCCACCATCGGCAGGCGGACTCTCAACCACTGCGCCACCAGGGAAGCCCCATGGGCTGAAATTTTTAGGGTGGGAAAACACACTTGGGCAATTTGATTTCCAAGACAAAGGGAGATTAAGTGGCTGTTAGAGCTATGACTGAGGTCCAATTTTTCCCTCTGGCATTAATTGACCTCAAAAAGGTCTCTGGACTAAAGTGAAAGGTTAGGCTGGAGAAAGGAGAAGCTCTACCTTGCTAAATGAAAAGCCTGCTTTACTTTATGAAGCTGAAATACAACCCACTGTATAAATGGCATCCACGTACACAGCACTGGAAATCTCTATCCTAGAAGCCAACTTTGGGAGATCGAAGGGTTTCTTTCACTTGGCCTGTAGACTTTATAGAGCCATAATGAGGACTGGATATACAACTATCTGAAAACACTTTGCCAACCATCAACTACAATAGTAGGAGTCAAAGATCCGGATCCTAGTTTAAACTCAGCTACTTCAATATAATCTTTAGAAGTAATTACACCTTTATGATACTCAGTTTCCTCTTAACAAATATTAGTAATACTTATAAGCACTTACTATGTGCCAGGTATTTTTCAGGTACTTTACATATATGAACTCATTTAAACCTCATAATCACCACCCAATGACTTAGGTATATTGCTATTATCCCACGTATATGGATAAAGAAATGGAAGTATGGATAAGTAACTTCCCAAGGTCACATGGTTAATAAATAGCGGGGTTAAGATTTGAATCCAGAAAGCCCAGCTCCTGGATCCATGCTCATTTATGGGATGAAAGGGTAGAGGAAATATCCCCAAAGTCCCTTCTAGCTCTACCACTCTATGACCTAGTCTTGAACCAATTAAAATACAGCATAATACTATGGGAAGAGTCCTGTACTTGGAATCAGAAAGCACTGATTTGACTCTTGGCTCCCCTGTCAGTGAGCTATGAGCCTTTGTTGCCTCTTCCATAAAATAAATAAAAATCCCTACCTCTCAGGATTTTAAGGAAAAAAAATGTCCTTTGCAGTATGTCCAACTCAATAAATATTAAGTTGAATCTGAATCTCCATTTCCTCATGACTAGGCAGGAAGGGCCAGGGGTAAGGGGGAGAAAGGTATTAGAATTTTAAACCTAGAGATGCTTTCTAAAGTTGTGTAACTGTTTCTAATAGGTTACTCACAGCAACTTATGTTTCAAATTAAAAGTAAAGCTTAAAAATAGGATTTTATTTCAGCTGAGGTTTGACCTGTTGGGATTGTTTTCAAATGAGATACAATTACTGGCTTCTTGTTTACTAACAGCTGACACATTTACCAGATCATTCCATGTCAGATGTTCCTTTCCTAAAAATGTAAATACGTGCTAAGATGAAACTTCAGCAGATTCAGGCCCAAAGCGGAGTGGGGGTGGGGGGTGGGGGTAAGGTAAGAGGAAATTACAAGTAGGAACAATGCAAACTTTTGGAAGATTTTCTGAAGAATTTCATCATATTTTTTCCAATGTCAATAAAAATTTTCTCTGTAACATTTGACTCTACTTGGTTTCATGCCAATACTTTAAATCACATCTTATTAGAAGATAGTACTAATCAGCTGCTGTTTTCTTTCCTTCTCCAATCCTACAACAACAATTCTTTGTCGAAATCCTTAATTGAAACTGAGGTGTAGCAGAAAGGGTATCTGAATCGCAAGCCTACCATTAAATAGCTGTGTGACCCTGAACTAGTTACTCAAAACTCTGGACCTCCATTTTCCCTTACTTAAAAGTGGGAATAATAAAAGCTACCTCACAGGAGCGTCCCAAGGACCACCTGTAAAAGCACTTCAATAACAGTAAAACACACACACAAAGGCTTCACTATTGCTATTAACAACTGTTACTGAATTATGTTAAGTAAACTCCTCTTTCCCCAGCAAACTGTCACAGCAGCAAGAACCATTTTCTTAAAATATTGCTTTGAACCTGGAATTCCCTTTCTCAAAAGCTTGCAGTGCCTCCAAGTGTCTCTGTAGTCAAACTTAAACACCTGATCTTTACCAACTGGACTCCAACCCATCAATATACTTACATACTCTGCCTTGCATTCTCCACTCAGCAGTTCCAAAACCTGACTCATACTCTCTGGTTTGAGAATTACTGCTCCTCTCCACACAAGCTAATCCCCTTGGAGTTCCTCTGGGACTCTCTTCTTCTCTCCTACCCAAAGCATGAGCTCATTTGCTTCAACCTAGACTCCAGGTTCTGGTTCTACTGATTCTACTAAGTCCTTTTTCCTTTCCACCTCTCCCAATACTTCATTTATAAATATATATCAGTAAATCTGTGGAAGTACTTATCATCCTCTTATAGATACTAATACATTAGGTCTATAACAATTAGCAAACCTCAGTTCTCCCAAGTTCAGAAAAAAATTCCAGTGGTTAAAATCATTGCTTTAGGGCTTCCCTGGTGGCGCAATGGTTGAGAATCTGACTGCCGATGCAGGGGACATGGGTTCATGCCCCGGTCTGGGAAGATCCCACATGCCGCGGTACGGCTGGGCCCGTGAGCCATGGCCGCTGAGCCTGCGCGTCGGGAGCCTGTGCTCTGCGATGGGAGAGGCCACAACAGTGAGAGGCCCGAGTACCGCAAAAAAAAACCAAAACACATTGCTTTAACTTAGGATAGTATAAACACCATTACTCAGTGGGAACTGGTTTTATCATCCTTTTGCCTCATCAACACTTCAACCAAAATTTTAAAGATACGTTTTATGTTTGTATTTCCTGTGCATATTGTGATTTGCAGGTGATTTTACATCGTATTTGAAAATATTCTCACAGATCAGCTCTTTTTGTGACTACACTTTAATCAGTCCACTGACCAGACTCTTTCTTCATGTGGTTTTTAAGATACATAGTATTTTCCTTTGCTCACCCATGAGCTGGAAAAGGCTTTACAGGTAGTCAATTCTCCTACTCCCCAAAGTTATGTTTTACAAAGTGACCACAAACACTAAGTTAGCAAACACTGAACCATTGCTCCTAGGGGAAAAATACAGGGTTAGGTTCCTGCAAGCCTCTGGTCACAACATTTTCATCAACCAAACAATACATGAACTTGTTTTGTGTGTTTCTGTTTAAAGACACCTTATTTAATATGTTGTTGATTCATTAACACTGAACTCAGAGCCAATAGCACTAACTCGCTCCTGAACAAAACTCATCTATAACACACAAATCTTCTCCACAAGAAACATCACAGCCTTTTTGCACTTAGCAGCACTAGACAGCACTTCAGCACTACACCTGGGGGCGATTTTAAACAGGGAAATCACCAACAAAAGCACAAAAATGCAAAAAACATGACACTAAATTGACCATGAGAAGGATACTTGTTTACAGCATAATAGCTAAAACAAGAAGTCAGAGTATCACCTCAGCCAGGAATATGCATGTTGCAGTTCAAATTTTTCACCCCCTGCACGTGTCCACAAATGACTGCAAAAGCACCACAAGTATTGATTCGGGTTACAAATAAATTTTAGCAAGTATGTGAATTCACAAATACAGGAAGGATTTGAGCAAATCAGTAAATATATTAAGGATGAGGGATCAGGTTTCTATCAGAGAAAGGAGTTAACAAATATGAAAAGGCAAAAGGACAGAATAAACCCTGTGCTATTGGGATGGATTTAGAGTAACTGGTGTAAGTTTTTAATATACAGAGGTAAAGAAATCAACATATGTGTGTTTATGTATATGTATACACATACATATACTTCCTACTCCTGTACTGATAGGGCCTGGAAGCAATGACACCTCAGTTGCAATGACAACATGTAGCATCCAAACTTGGTTTCTAAATAGTAGTATTCACTGAAAGGAACTAGTCTTCTCTGGAGAAAAGTTGACTCCTGAATGGGGTTGAAGCTCCTCAAACCTTATTCACAAAGGTCTGGAATTATTTGATCTGTCTAGCAGTTCCTTGGAAGACTCCATCCGTCTTGAAACTCCTCCAGTATGATAACCATTTTCCCCAGGAGCGTTAGTGGAAAACAAATAGAGGCAATTGTTTAACTTTGTGGCTGCCTGAGGCAGTGGATAATACTTGGGGAAAACAATAGGCTAATCAAAAAGTTTAAAAGGAAATCAGAGGAATGAGATATGCATAGGGACCTTGAAAAGCTCTGACATATTCCCGGGAATTTGAAGGCCAAGCAGATGCACAGGTTTGTGCACATGCCCAGAACAGGAAAGACCTGAGACTGCTCTAAGCTCTCATCTCTGGTTGACCTTGAGGTGCTTCGCAAGCAGGAAGTGAAGGTTAAGGCAGAACTGTCAAATGACTGGCAGAAGGATGAAGGCATGCTCCAAAATGCACACAGAGCCCCTCAACAAATACTAAGAGACTCATTGGTTCCAGG